TATTCAAGTGTATCCAAATGTAAGTGGCAGAATATAAGCCATTTGCATCAAGCATTGTGTTGTTTGTAGCAACTTAACTAGCCTGAGGCCTTTTATTTGGCAGTGCTGATTGAAATAAGGGGAGTAGCAGGTGAAAAGAAACTGAGTAAAGCAGAGGAAAATAAATCTCAAGGGTTTGCTCAAATTTTTTGTTTTTAGCTGTTGACAAGATAATCATCTTGTCACACCATCACCGTAATTCAATTTGTGGTTGCATTTAAGCAAGACGAGACATTCCCTGCTTAACGTGTGCAAAACAAGTGGAACAATCCCACAGTACAGCACCCAATGGCTTATTTAGTGTGCGCAGACCATCTTGTGAAATATGCACAATGTAGTGAATATAGCCAGACATGAAAGATGACCAGTCTTGTACAGTACTGCAGCTTAGGCTCAGCTACAGTCTTTTGCTGATATGACTTTAACAAAAGATCCAAACAAGAATTAAGCAACAGAAGGTTAATCACTATCAGAGTTAAGAGATGTTTTATCCCCGGGGTTGGAGAAAGAAACAAGCATTATACATCCTCCCTTTCTCCATGTTGTTATCAAAGAAAGTTCTTAAATCTTGCTCTTACCTATAAGCTTCCTTTCTGGCAGCTTACTGGACCTCTTTTACATGTCAAGTCTCAAATCCCGAAGAGAGTGAATCATTTGATGACTGCTGTCACTTTGTTAACATCAATCAGTGTCTTTCCTGATCATGGATGCATATCTCAGCACAATCTGTGATGTTTTAAACAAATTAGTACTGGCCCTTTACCTAGAGATTTGAAATGGCTGCATGCTTATTTAAGAAAATTTTCAATAGCGTTCCTTCATAATTTACTACAAATGCTGCTGATTGACTTCAACATACTTATGTTCATAGTGAATAAATGTTGTTAGGTGGTTAAGTGTTGATATCATTGACATGTCTTACCCATATTAAATTACCGAGTTGAATTGAAGAGTGTGCACAGTCCTTTTGGGTAATGACTGGATTCTCTTTCACAATGATTGTTAAATTCCTTCATAAAGTTGGTCTGAATAATACATTCCTTTAGCCCTGAGGGTAATCAGATTCCAGCTATTTCAAAAGAATGATGAAATGATTATTTTGTAACTTTTTTTTTAAAAGGAGCAGTAAATGTTATTATACAACATACAATCAAACTAATTCCATATTTATTGCATAATAATGACTGCAATTCAAAAATAGTTAATTAGCTTTGGAGACATCTAGGGCATTGTGAGATTGTTATGTTTGCTAACTTTAAGACGAAATTCTTTGGGCAATTTTGTACCTGTCTCCCAAAATGACTCTTGCTTTTCTCCCTAAAAAAAAGCTACTTTTCTAGGTTAACTCCAAACCATTCTGCTCTTGTAGATTGCTGCAGGGAATGTCATTTTCGAAGAGCTGGCCTTCCAGGCATGTTGCAAAAATGGTATACCTGTTTAGCCTATCAATTGTCTCCCTTGATAGCTTTCAAAATCTGTAGCTTTGGAACATCAAGGTCAAAAACCTTTTTCTGAAATGACCTCCAGTAGGGCCCTGTTTTCCAGGGATATCATTTTGTGTAACTGCCTGCATATTTTATTAGGGATCTTAAGTCAGGTGGGCATTTACTTATTCAGTTTTCCAGCAAAACAATTGAATCCCTGCATTTGTTTGAAACTGCTGTACATACGAGTTACTCTGAGCTTCCTTGCTGACGTCGTCCACTTGACCACTTGGTATTGCTAGAATGTAAATTCTCCTTCATCATACCAAAAGAGAGACCTGAAATATAGTTCAAGTTAACAGAAGTCTTAACATTGCATTTTTGTTGACATTGAGAAAGAACTATTAATTTTGCTCCCAGTTACCTTTCCAACAAGTATTAATATTTGAAACCTAGCATGTAATACCAGATATAATATTTTGAAACACAACTTTATTAGAAATAATAATTTTACCAATACTAAGTTGACTATAAAGGTTCAAATATCTTTAGAAATTATATCTAATGTAATAAAAGAAATTTGTTGTGTAACCGTCACTAACTCCCTTCCCCTGCTAGTGTTTTTGGTATTACTGCAGTATTGGATGTCTCAGACTTGAGATGCATACACTGTAAGATCAGCTGGCAGTAGCCTGCTTATTCTACTTTCATTTAAGCTGTGTTGTCTCCACTATACCCCACAATCCAATTGTATAGTAGGAGCTCAAAAATTAACGTTGTCTTTTGTAAATTTAGGCTTCATAATAAAAAGAATAGCAAGTACCAGCATGGATTTGAGCCAGTAATTCTATCTTATGACTCTGTTGACACTCATAAATTACTTGAGCCTAGCTTTTGCAGTTTGACGTCACCCGAACTGCTCAGTTGAATTACTGCCTTGTATGTTGCTGCCAACCATTTATTATCTTATATATCTAAACTATGCAGTTATAAATAATGCTAACACTATAATCTGTCTGTCAACATGCACCGCCCTACAACATGTCGAATTGGTAATAGAAATGCTCTAACCCTCCACTACCTATTTCTTTTCTTTTGAACAGTGGATTTTAGTGTCAGTTGTGATGTAAACTGAATTTGAATATATATTTTCTTATTATTTGTTGTGAGTTTGGAATTGAGTTGTGGCCTTCCTGTGTCTGAAATTAATAATTAACTTGTAATTATTTCTGTAGCCATGGTGATCTGTTTTAAAACAGTTCTTGAGACCCTGACTTAAGAGTGAATCAACATTCCGGCTAATTTTGGTTTCCTCTGTGTTGACCTCTGAGGTCTCTGCATGGCAGCAGCTTCCAGAAGTGGAAGTCAGTGCAGTGAATAGCATCAGTGTGTGGATCCTTATTGCAGTGTCTACAGTTTACAGGAAAAAAGCTGGAATGAATGGGTTTTCTGCACCACTAATGGATTTTTGTTTCTTTTCCCATCCAGCAGGATAAATAATAGGGTCTCAAGTTCATTGGAGATTTTTAAGCCTAAGGAGGATACCTGTATCTTAGAGAGACTTTTGGTTTCAGATTTTACTTTGAGGGAGCAGTCATTGAGTTTTACATCAAGGAAACAGACACTTCAGTCCAAGTCGTCCATGCCGACCAGATATCCTAATGAAGGTAGTCCCATTTGCCAGCATTTAGCCCATATCTCTCTTAAACCCTTCCTATTCATGTACACATCCAGATGGCTTTTAAATGTTGTAATTATACCAGCCTCTACTACTTCCTTTAGCAGCTTATTTCATACATGCACCATCCCCTGCGTGAAAAAAATTGCCCCTTAGGTCCCTTTTATATATTTCCCCTCTCTCCTTAACCCTATGCCCTCCTAGTTTTAGACTCAGCTACCTTGTGAAAAAGACCTTGGCTAGCCACCCTATCTATGTCCCTCATGATTTTCTACATCTCTTTAAGGTTACCCCTCAACCTCCAATGCTCCATGGAAAATAGCCCCAACCTATTTAGCCTCTCCCTATAGCTTAAAGCTCCAACCCTGGCAACATTCTTATAAATCTTCTCGTTATCCTTTCAATTTTACCAGCATCTTTCCTGTAGCAGGTCCTATGAAATCTTTGGAATAGGATGACTGTGTAGACCCTGAGAGGGAAGGTTGTATAGTGAACTAGGTTGTTTTGGAGCGAGGAGCTAATATTAGTCGCAGACCAGAAGTATTGCTATGAAGCACTTAAGAGGTTACTTGAAGTTGAGTACATTGAAGCTTAGGTGTATGAAAGCTGCAAGAAGATGCTATCTGCACTTCCAGTTTAAAACTTTAAATCACAAGTTACTTAAGCCTACCAAGGTGTTAGATACAAGGACTCTGATATGAATATTGGATGATTGGTGTTTTGGGTACTGGCCAGGGTGTCTTTTGGGTACTATACAAAAGCTTTTTACTACTTTCAATTTATAAAAGTTTGCTTTGGGATTAATAGGATTATGCTTTACTGTGTGTTGAAAAAAATCTTTGAATTTGTATTGTGAGTAGATGGTTTGGTTATTTTGGTTTTATCCTCATTTATTTTCTCAAACTCCTGTTTTATCATTAAAATAAAATCAGAAGCATTGCATGCCTATTTTTCAACAAGAGACCACTTCCTTAAAACCAAAAGAAATACAAGTATGATCTATCAAACTAGGTTCCTGTCTAAGGTCTGACTTGTCCTGTAATAACATCAGCTGCGATACTAACACAGTGTCACACTCGGCTCTGTTCATGAGTGCTCTGCCGACTAAGAAGAATTACAAATGCAAAGAAAGATTTGAAATGCTGAGGGTTTTTCACTAAAATGGAACAAAATAATTCCTCTCATCAAATAATCTTTTAAGACTTTAATGTTTGGCTGAGGGATCTGCAATGAAGGAACATAAATATGAGCTGTTGATGCTGTTCCATTTATGTGGCATTTTTCAAATACCCTAACATGCTCGCATATGTGTACTAAGAAAAAATGCATGCAAAATGAGAATTTTTTTGGAAGAGAAACCAAACTCTGTTGGGTATGTAGGTTTTTTTGGAGAAGATGTTATGTGGCCTAGGGAGGGAATTTCAGAATGAATATTAATGACTGATCATAGCCAATCTGTGTAATAACACTTGCAGAACAGTGAATTTACAGTTAACTGTGCTTTTATTACTAGAGATAGCATTTTGAATTGTGTTAGTGTGTAAGACATAATTTTTTAATGCAGAACGATAACGCATTGGGAGCCTATCAAATGGGTTTAAGCAATACTTTTACAGTTATTCTTATTCTAGTTTGAACTGTTATATTTAGTCAGCTTCAATGAGATTCATTATGAGTAGGTTAAGTGATTACAGTAGATTAGTGAATGAGAAGTAACTCTGACCATGTAATGTTTATAATTCCTTCAAACAGCTAACTTTGAGACATAGTTGTTTTGAAAATATAGATGTTTATGCTGTGGCATCAAATTTGAGATTCTCATCCGTGTCATACTAAATAGGAGACGTCCTTCCTTTCAGGGTGATTATGATCCCACCAAAACAAAGGTGCTTCACTTGAGTATGAACCCTTGCAGTCTGGCGAAGGAACATCACATCACAGAGCAGAAGAGCCTAAAGGAAGAATGTGAGCATCTCCGAGAACGGGTGCGGATTCTGGAAGAAGGCACAGACCCTGAACAGTTGGGGTCACGACCCAATCTGCCACCGTCTCAAGAAATTGCAGGTACCTTTAAACCTGAGTGGAAATATTAGCCCCTCTATTGCTGAAACCATCATGCTGTTTTTAACTACCAGAATTTACTGATCCAGTGTTTGCTGGCCATCCTTGCATCTACTACCCTTCGCTTGGACTCATTCAAAACCCAAGTGCCCGTTTTATTAATTATGCCTGGTCTTATACTGACTCTATGTTCAGCAAAGCCTTATTTCATATTTCTTATCCTTTTGTTCACGTCTTGCCATGACCTTTCCCTTCCCTGACTGTAATATCTTCCAGTCCAACAGTCCTTTAAGCTCTCTCTCTTTGTTCAATTCTAGCTTCTTCGGCATCTCAAATTTCTTTTGCTTTACCATTGGCAGCTATGCCTTGAGATACTTGGGGCCTGTTCTCTGCAATTTAATCCTTAAAGCTCTGCCTTTGTACCTCTCTTTCCTCCGTGATGGTCCTTAAAACTTGCCTTTTCCTAATGTTTTCATATGCAGTTCATATGTCTCTGGTAATGCTCATGTGAATCATATGATTGAAGGAGACCGTTCAGCCTATTAGTTTCACACTGCGTCTCTGTAAGAGCAATTCAACTAGCTCCACTCTTATTCATTTGTCCCATATCTAAGCAAGTATTTTCCAGTATCCATTACACTTTTTTAAAACCTGTGCTGCCACCCTATGATGATTTGTGCCTCTCTGTTCTTGCACTTCCTTTAAATTCTGCTCCTTGTTTCATATCGCCTGTCTTCATTCTTCCTTTCAAAATGTATCACTTCACACTTTCTTCCATTAAATTTTATTTGCCACATGTCTGCACATTCTGCCAATCAATTTCCTTTTGAATCTATCACTATCCTTTTCACAGTTCACAATATTTTGAAACTTTGCATACTCAGAAAATTTTGAAAAAGTACAAGTTGTTAATGCATATCAAGAAATGCAGCTATCCTCATAGTAATTCCTTGGGTAACCGTCTATATATCTCTTTCTAGTCTAAACATTTTGGAATGTTCTTAAACTGCCAAAAAAAGGATGCAAAATGAGAATTTTTTTTGGAAGAGATGACCCAACTCTTAGTTGGATATGTAGGTTTTTATTTGGAGAAAACATTATTTGGCCTAAGGAGGGAATTTCAGAATGAGGGAACTATATGGTTTTACCAACAGCGAAATCTCCCTGACAACAAGGTGCAGGGCTGGATGAACACAGCAGGCCAAGCAGCATCATAGGAGCAGAGAGGCTGACGTTTCGGGCCTAGACCCTTCATCAGAAAAGCGAAATCTCCCTGTCTGTTGCCTTTGGTATGACTGTGATATCAATGAATGACCATAGCCAATCTGTCTTAACACTTGCAGAACAGTGAATTTACAGTTAACTGTGCTTTTATTACTAGAGATAGCCTTTTGAATCCTTTGGTATGTCAATGTGTAAGATGTAGTTTTTTAATGCAGAATGATAATGCATTGGGAACCTATCAAATGGGTTTAAGCAATACTTTTACAGTTATTATAATTTAAACTGTTATAGGGGTAGTCAGCATAAATGAGACTCTATATAAATCCATGTCGGTGTTAATATCTATTCTTGTACCTTCATTTTGATATTAGCAGTGGATGAATTGTAAAGATTGGGAAGACACTTCTTTCTTTCAGGGTGGCAGACCGATTTAGCTCTTTGCTGCCGCAGAGTGACGGATCAGTTCCTCACACACTAATTTGTTCAATCTTGGCTACTAGGTTAGAGGCAGGTGTCTTCCTTTTAGGCTACTCTCCCAGGGCTACTGTTGGATGATGGAGAACAACATTGTAAGAGACTTGAGAGTAGGTTAATGCATTGCTTCTTGAGCAATACAGAGTAACCCAGGAGGCCTAATGAGAGGAAATCCGAGAAAATATGATGCATTGAACAACCCACCCAGCCCCCCAAATTATTCAATAAATTGTCTTCTGCTACAGGACTTTTGTATTTTCTATTCTATTCTCCCAAGATCAGAGCTACGCAAATGGAATGAGATGACTTGACACCTGAATGCTTGTTTTGTCAAGTTGCACTATTGTTGTGGTAATGGAGATGGCAGCGAATGTTATCAGCACCATTCAGAATACTGGTGTGCAGAGGAAATTGATGTGTATGCATTTTTTTAAAAAGAAATAAACAATTAATTGCTCATCCTGAAGGTTTAAACTGATTAACAGAAAATCCTCTGGAAAGAGCTCACATTTTATGATCTGTTTTTCAGAAGCTGTACTGAAATAGAGTTAATCAGCACTGCAACATGGTGTTTAGAATCTACCTTGTTAAACAGCAATGCACATTAAAACAAGCAGATTTGTGTAATTATAATAAACATCTTAAAGTTTTGAACAAAAGCAAAATTGGAAGAGCTGTACAGAACTAGTACAGGGAAACTGCATACGCACAATCAAGGATTTAGAAAATTGTCACTGCTTAAGGCTCTATTTTGTTTTTTGCTCAGTTTTATTAATTGTTCAGTTCTTAAAATAATCATTTTCTACCAGAGCACTGTTAATTGTTTTTCATACTTGTTTGGTTAATTAACTTATCACTCTGTTGGTCATTTGTGAATTTTGAAGTTTAAAAGTAACATTCCAGAATAGTGTGGTGCAACTAATTTCCTATGCCGGAGATAACAAGGTGTAGAGCCGGATGAACGCAGCAGGCCAAGCAGCATCAGAGGAGCAGGAAAGCTGACGTTTCGGGCCTAGACCCTTCTTCAGAAATGGG